AAGTGAGAGAGGCATTTATAACTTGACCCATTAGGTGTTACACATCTAAACTTAAGAAAAGATGGGTGCTATTTGCTGCCTGAGTGGGCAAACATACAGGAAGGAACCCAAGATTATTTTGTAATTTGTGTCCATCCACAGCTGCATGCATACACACATACAAACATGAGGTCGATGTGTGAGTTTAGCCCTTTTATTTTTTTCCTCCTACAATTCCCTGACTAGGCAGTCAAAGTTTCGGGGCACATTTGAGTTAGAGCTGTTCTGTGAAAACAGATAACTTCATTATGTAAGTTGGCTCGTTTCTCCTGCTTTTAATAGACTATTATAATCAGTCTTTGTGCTAGAAAAGAGTCTCTTAGCAGCATGTTGGTAATTTTGGTGATAGAACTAAGCTGGGGTGCTCAGGCATGGATAGGTCTTGTCAGGTTAGGGTTGTTGCTTGCAAGGATGTAAGGATGTCCTTATTTTTATCCATCTAGAATAAGGGGAAGATTGAACAAACCTATGCGTATGAATAGAAAACAAGTTTGGTGCTTTTAAATGACAGCATGACTGGCAGCAATATGAATGCTAGAAATGAACTAGCCATCCCTTTAGGTCGAAGGTGGAATTTCAAGTTGCATAACATGCTACGTTGGCTGCCCTTCCCTCTTTTGACACAACTGTCCTCTTTTAAATCTGGCCTCAACTTCAAATATTGACAATATGTAGCTACAGATGCAGATATTGCCTTTTCAGTGCAGATATTGAAAATGGATTGATTTTAGGAAAACAATCATGGCTATAGGCGAGAGTTTCAATAACAAAAGGGAGACGTGAGGTGTATGAGAGCGGTTAAGAACTCTAATAAAATACCCTGCTTATCAACCTTAACATGTTGAAGAATCTGAAAATGGTATTCAACCGAACAGACATGAAGAACAATTTAAAACTTTGATCATGTTTGAAGCAGAATTCCAGTTAAAGAAGGAAGGTTGTCTGAGGTCAGCCATGTTAAAGTCTAGTAACTTGATTTGTTCTTCCATGGCAGGGTTCTTAATCTAAATCTGATTGAAGAAAAGATTTCTACCGTACCCATGAAAAACAACCTGCTGTGGTTTTACAACCCATGAAAACCAAACACAATCAAAAGCCAGTGAGGTGCACTACATAGAGCAGTGGTAGACACATGAGTTGTCTGCAACATCAGGAATGCAGCTGGTTATCTGATCCTAGATTAGCCTGTCAAAATAGATTGTGGGAAATCTAAATTCAAATCTCCTATGCAGCCATTAAAAAAGGTGGCTTCATGGCTAAGGTGAGCTCCAGTTTCTCAGTCCACATTACTGAAAAACAACAACAAAGAATCCTTTAAATTTAACAAGTTTTATTTGGCATAATCCAGTGGTTCCCATACTTTTTTGACTCATGGCTGCCTTGACTTACTGGCCACTGGTGGCAGCTCCCCCAGTACTATACGGTACTTTGGATGGGAGGGGTAGAAGGGAAGAGGGTAGCTGGGCTGGAGTAGTAGTACTCCAACAGATTCTGTGGGTGTTCTTCCAAGGGTTTCGTGCTGCTCCTGGCTGGGTTTGGTGATGCCCTGGGGCAGGGCAGGGCATCGTTTGGAAAACACTGCATCAGGCTTTGTGGGTTGCCAATGTCAGTGGACAAACATCTATACAATGAGGTGGGGGGGGGAAATAAAAATGCAAGAGGTCCAGCACCCCTGATAGTCAGTTAGTGGCTCTAATAGCCAGTGTGGTGTAGCAGATAGAGGTTTGAACTAGAATTGAGGAGACCTAGGTTAAAATCCCTGCTGCAGCATGGAAGCTCACAGGGATGGAAGTGGGGTGGCATTGGTAAAAATGCTGCTTAAACATCGTACGTACTTGCCTTGAAAACCCTATTAGGGTTGCCATAAATCAAATGTGGCTTGGTGGTAGAAACCACACAAGTCATGGACAATATTTTGAGTTTGTTAAATCATTGTGATTGTTAAATGTAATTCATAGTTCAGTGGTGGGTGACAGGTAGATTCAAGCACAGATGAACAGTTAACATACCTACAGCTCAGTGGGTTTATGTATACATCAGTTCTGGTAAGGGGTTATAGCAAAGTGAAATAAAATACAGCAGTAGGGCAGTAACACACACAAAGCTCCATGGATGACCTGACTAATGTATATAATGAAATAAGAAATCCTTATATTTAAGCCAAGAGAGAGAGTGTTGAACCTCTTGGTGTAGTTATTCAGTTTCTTTTGCACAACAGTGTTAATTCTGAGGTCAGAGACAGAGTATCTTATTTCTATGTTGTCCCACTTGCTTCTGAGTGTCACTGTTTCTCATGTCAATTTTGTATCTTTTTATTCCATTTATTTCCAATCTGAATAATACAAACCACTGGACTGTGGTATAAAATACACTCTATGCCTATTCACCTCTCTTATCACTTGAGATTTTGTGAGAGAATTATGAGGAGGAGGAGCAGCCTGCACTTTGAACTGTGTGGATAATTCTCCCCCACCATTTGGTGAGGTTGGCATCCCTCTCCTTATAAAAATAACTTTAAAAGCGGCAACTGAGAACCCACTGAGCTGTAGGTGTGCAAACTGCTCATCTATGCTTGAATGTACCTGTCAGTGAGTTACAGTAATAATGTGTTATAGTAAATCCTGGTTGTTGGGATAAGAAACTGACTAGAAATATAGTTATTTGTAAATAGTTATTTCCAAGTTCTGCATCGCCCTACTGCCATTTCATGCACATTAGCTCTATAATACTAATAATCTTAGAACTGCTGAACTGGAAGAGACTCTATGAATCATTGAGACCAGACTTTCTCAAAGGGGCACAGTGGGGAATCGAACCTCCACCCTCTGAACCATCAAGCTATTCAGCAGTTCTGTGCATGTAATCAGATGAATGGGACTTGTTTTTTCAATCCACACAATACACTTGAGAGCTTGTTGCCTTGAGCCTACAACCATCTCTTAAGATTTTGAAGTAATCTTTTCCTGTACTCATTCTGCTCTACTTTTTGTTAATTTGCTTTCGCAGAAGTTGTCATCACACGCCGTTTGAGAGACCGAGAGCTTCTCAGGAAAAGAAAAGCAGAAACAGAGGAAAAAGACACTCACCAGTGGGTTCTGGGGTAAATTAGGATGGTGTTAAAATGACCTTTGATTTTACAGACAAAGCAGTTTTACACATTCCTTATGGGCATGCATGGTATAAAAATTGCTCTTTTAAATTTAATGAGTGATACTGCAGTGTACTTTCTACAAGATCTGAAAGTTACAGGCAGAGATATATTAAAATGGACAGGTACAGTTATTCCTCAGATTTCTGTTCAGAGGTTGGAAAGATTTGCCCAGAAGCAATTGGACTAAACCTGCCTGCGGAAGGGTATTGCTTTGTGGATCCCACCTACCTACCCTGCCCCATGTACTGTCTTTCATGGACCTGATTTTGTAAACCATTGAACAATTGGGTGCATGAAGAAGAGTCTGCTGATGGGGTGGCACCCTTTCCCCCCTAAATAAGGTCCAGCACCTTCAATAACTCCTGTAAAATGCAGATAAAATCCAGAGTAGATCACGGTGTGTGTCTGGAAATGAAATCACCAGCCACTGCTGCCTTGAGTAATTAGCACTGGATTCCTATTTCTTATCTTTCTCTCATGTTTTGTTACCTGTCTGTGCTTTCCTTTGTATTTAGTGTCCTTCTGCCACACAGGCTGAAATCCAGCTAGCACAACTATACTTCGTATATGGTCATTATGTCATCACCCAAAGCCACTAATCTTTAATTTAATTTAACACATGTTATTCCGCACATTCCCTCAGGTTTCAAGGCACCTAAAGGACCCCTTTTGCCCCTGGCGAAGCCTTTGGGACCCTCAGGAGAGAGAGGATAAGCCTTTAAAAGTGGATTGCCCCTGGGAGTCTTGATCTGGTGACAGGACAGCCAGCAGCAATTTCTTTCAATCCTAAGGCTTCCAAAGGCTTTCCCAGTACAAATGGATCCCTAGGGAGCCTTGGAAATGGAAAGGGGGGGGGGGGTGGAACATTTTTAATTTAATTAAAACAAAGATTAATATCAC